TGACTTGATTAAAACAATCAACATTTTTCCCGCAAAGGCTAGCTATAGATATGAAATCAACCCCCCGTCAAGATGTTAATATTCTATCTCCGAAAATTGGATTATTTATAAAAAGTCAATTTTTTTTAATTGAAATCCGCCTCTCGTAAATTTCTTTTATTAAACCGTCTTTCCGTCAAGAAAATTATTTCATTGTCATTTAAGAGCCTGTGTGGGCCCGATTTTTTCACCCAAAAAATTGATTTTTTTTATTGTTATTTTACTATTTCAGCTATAATATTTGACTTCTTCTCTCACGGGTGGACCCCACTTTCTCCTAACGGTCAAAAAATCAATTCTCAAAATCACTTCCAACAGGCTCTTATTAAAATTTTTTCTAAATAGAACAGCTAGAGTGTCTAAAAACTCTCATGGCTGTGTTTAGCTTGTCTAGAAGGTCCAGATAATTCAAAATTGTGTGCAAAATGAAGGGAGGGTTATAAATGGACTAAAAATTATTGACACGCTTGTCTAATTCGACGATAATACCTAATAACTCGAAATTTGTGCAGTAATTTTTTTCTTGAAAAGGACATTATTTAGAAACGAAACAAAATTCATTATCTTATACTAAAATTTTTCGCACCCGAAAAATGGAAATTTCTCTTTCCGAAATTTAGAAATATTAGATGAAAGGGTACATCGGAAATTTCGACTTTTTTTTTTTTTTTTTTTGAACAATTTTGATAGAAGGCCACAGAACATGACTCTCTTGATATGCTGAGAACAATATAGTTCTTTTTACTGAATGGGACAAAAGGCCCTTTTGCTTTTCCTATCTGTTTTTTCATCTCTTCTTTCATTAAAGAAATCAAAAACTGAGATATCCACTCAGATTCAAAACCCACAAAAAATTTTAAATTTCAAACCTGTAAATATCGTAAAAAGGAAAAATTCCCATATTATAAAATATAAGGAATGGCTTTTGAATTCATGGAGATAGAGAATTGTTAGCTCCTGTTTGGCTTAGATTTTAATCTAAGTCAAAGCCAAACAATCAATATTAACCACATTTTTCATAGGCCCCACAACTTTTCAATTACACATTTCAAAAAGATCTATCAAAATCTACTAAAAATGTAATTATAATCTACACCAAACAATGATAAAAGTAAAAAAAAAAAAAAAAAAATCGAATTTGAGAAAATATTTTTTAATAAGACTGTTTTTAAGTTAATAAGGGATTTTTTTTTTAATAAAAATATTTTCTTGTATTAGATCTTCTCTTACTGATAAGGGAAATTTTAATTTATAAGTATTTTGTTTATAAATTTGTGAATAAAGGAGGATAAGCACCTCGAATTAATTTAATTCTTGTACTAATTGCACCAGATTTTTTTTTAATTTTTTCAAAACAAGGCCGAACAGCCCAGATCCAATGGTGTAGGATTTGATGTAAATTTATTGAAAATAAGATCTAAAATGGTTAAATTTGACGTTTATTTTCTTGAAAATGGTGTGAGATTTGATGAATTTTATCAATAGGTGTCTATAAATATTCATATCGTTGTCTTATTTTTGTACAAAAACTTTGCAAAGATTTACTACATTTTACAATTCCTTCATTCTAGATATGCTTTAAAAGGGACAGAAAGTCGTATTTTAATATATATGTATATTTTTTCTTTAATTTTAGTTGATAATAAATCTTTAGTCAATTATGTCAATTTCTTAAGCTGCACTTCCACGCTTGGCACAAGTTCCTTCACTCTATGATTAAATCTTTGGCTTTGTTATTTTATAATATCAATCATTTCTATAATATACTTGGTTGTTGTTTAAATGTTAGCTTTAAGTTAGCAATATGTTGCATAATACACTATTGAACTTTGCATTAACGTTGATTTCGCCAAGGCCTAATTTGTGGAATTCGCCTCAGGCCCGGCAATCATAGGACCGACCCTATCCAACTGAACAACTATAATTTCTAGAAGATAAGTGTTTGTGTAAAAAGGGAATAAAGAAAAGGAAAGCAAAAAGAAAGAAAACGTGGAGAAGAGAAGAACAAAGAAAAGGGAAAGAAAAATGAAAAAGAAAAGGAAAATATGCATTTTATAGTGTACCAGTACGTATGCTATAAAAAATCTCGACTTTTTTATATTACATTTTTATGGCGTGCAATATGCATGTCATAATTTTTTTTATGATACTCATTTAATACCCGTTTGGGTCTCATTTTTCATTAAGAATGCATTTTGGAATAGTAGATTGATGGAGAATTCGTGGTTAAAAAATAATGAAAAGTTTTGAATTTGTATAATATTATATTATTGAAGAATGCGTGGTTGAAAAGAAAAGAGAGAAAAATGTATTTTGAAAAAAATGAGGATCAGACAAAAGCTTAATGTATGCCATAACTAGTATTTTTTTCCAAAAAAAAAAATTTATAAATATTTTTCTATATATTTCTATGGCATGCTTGAGATTTACATCATAAATAGTCAACTTTTCTGATGTGCCCAAAATGCATATTGTAAATACTTTAAATAATAGAATTATTATGATACACATTCAAGGCATGCCGTAAATAGTCTATTTTTACAGCAATGCCTTGTATGCACACAGTAAACGTATGCCCTTTTATTTGTTGCAGTGAAAAGATCTTTATTTCGGCTCTTTCTTCTCCCATGAATTTTCACTTTTTCATGATCAATTAATTTTTGAAGTGTTGCATAATTTTAAGGTCAAACATTGGTGTAGTAATTCGTATATTATTAGCAAAGCTTAGTTTTTAGTTTTTCATAAATGGAATCCGAAAAGTTGGATAAATAGTGTTTTGATAATATATAGCTTTTTGCACAATCATAACATTTTTCTTGCACTTTTCACTTTTTATTATTTTAGCACAAAAGTTCATAATTAACAAAGCCTCTAAACGTTTTTACTAAAACCAAAATGGAATAAATTATACAAGTGAATTGATTACATCAATACCATTTTAAAAAAATTATTTTATATATTTACGATATTATATATGTGCTTATATGAAATTAAAATTTTGAATTATACATCATTGAATATTTATTATTTATTATTTATTTTATTTATTTTTTTGGGTATATAATGTGTGGTTAAAATAAAATACAGAATGTAAATATGATTTTTCAAAATGTGAGGTTGTAGTGTAGGAAAAAGTTCTTTTAAAATAATCACTTTAACACAAAAACTATATATCTAAGCATTTACTTTCTACTATATCACTTGTTACAAATAATCGAGATCTAAAATTCTCAACTTGCATTCGTTTATAAAAATAATTTAGATAAACAATATGCAGTAAAAGTGATCCTATATATATATATATATATTGCGATTTTAATTCGTTATTTTGGATTCAGGTGATTTATGTTTCTATTGTTAGAAATTTTTAAAAATAAAAGTGAATTTTTTACTAAATTTTACCCAAAATATGTTTTTGTATTAGTTAAATATAATTTAAAAAATTAGTAATTTACTATCTAGAGGGTTTTATTGGCTTTTTAGGGAAATAATGTATGATAATTTTTCTTATCTATTTCGAAAAGAATAATTTCAAATTTTAAATTTTATGTTGAACATTTTATTGATTTAATGTTGTAACAAGATATATTTTTTTTTGAAAGGTTTAAATTCAAGTACTATTATACTGAAATTTCACATCAATATATTTTACTTATTTAAAATAGGTTATTTAATATCACTATACTAAAATCAAAATTTCAAATTAAATTGAACAATGAAAAATGATTTGACTTGAAAAATGAAATGATTTGGTTTAGACTGGAATTTTTTCAAATTATAAATGATTTGACATGAAAATAGTTCAAAAATCATCCAAGTCGAATTATGTTGAATCCTACTACGTCATTAAAATTAAAACACTTAAAAAGGGAAGATATTAAGAAAATTATTAAAATCATCTAGCTAAACCAGTTACTCCTAATTAATTGATCATTAGTTATAGAAATAACATTTTCTTCTAATGCTAAGCTAGTTGGATACATTAATCCGTGCATGAGTAGACCTAAGTGTCAAATCAATCACAAGCCTAACATTTTTTTTCCCTCCCAATTATTGGACAAATGTGTATCGCCTAACAAATTATATGACTCGCACAATATTTTTATTCGGTTCTCTTGAATATATTTATAATGTTTAAATTGAATGTACTAAACATGTCGGTATGTGTGCACATTATTAAACATAATTGAATCCTGCAATTGAAAATCAAAATTAAATATTTTCCCCCTTTTTTAACGTTGTCT